TTTTTCAAGAAGCAAGGCTTTCAAAAATGTGAGATGGAGTACGGTGTCTATGTTCAGCATACTTCTGAAGGCAATATGACTCTGGTATGTTTATATGTTGATGATATACTGCTGACTGGAAGTTCTGAACAGGAGGTAGCCAAGTTCAAGAAGGTTCTAATGAATGAATTTGAAATGACTGATCTAGGCAAAATGACATACTTTCTAGGGATGGAGTTCAGATATTCTGAGAAAGGTATCATTTTGCATCAGCTCAAGTATGAATTAGAACTTCTGAAGAGATTTAATCTAAAGAATTGTAAGATGGCTGTCACACCTTCTGATACAAATCAGAAACTGGATTCAAACTCTGAAGGAAAGGATGTGGACGCTACAACCTTCAAACAGTTGGTTGGTTCTCTGAGGTATCTGTGCAATACCAGACCTGATATTTGCTACTCAGTTGGGATGGTTAGTAGGTTCATGAGTAAACCTAAGTGGTCCCATTACCAAGCTGCTGTCAGGATTCTGAGGTATATCAAAGGAACTCTGAAGTATGGAGTGTTATTTCCCTCTGGAGGAAATAATGAGTCAGAACTTCTAAGTTATTCAGACTCTGATTGGTGTGGAGACAGAGTTGACAGAAGAAGTACATCTGAGTACTTGTTCAAATTTTTGGGAGGTTCCATTTCTTGGTGTTCCAAGAAGAAACCTGTTGTGGCGTTGTCAACCTGTGAAGCTGAATACATTGCAGGTGCTGTTACTGCATGCCAAGCTGTGTGGATTTTGGATCTGTTGCAGGATCTGAAGATTAAAGTAGACAAACCTCTGAAGTTGATGATTGACAACAAGTCTGCATTCAATCTTTCCAGAAACACAGTGTTGCATGGGAGAAGCAAGCATATTGAGACCAAGTATCATTTTCTGAGACATCAAGTTCAGAGTGGAGTGTTAGAAGTTGTACACTGCAGCACTCAGAAGCAGTTGGCAGATGTTCTGACGAAAGCTATCAAGACTGATCAATTTCTCAGACTAAGGGATGGAATTGGTGTTACAAGTTTTGATGGAATATGAATTAAGGGATGGTATTAAAATATTAATAGTAATTCATATTTATTTAGTTGTACTATTTTCTTAGCCCCTAAGTTTGTTAGAGGGTATTTTAGTATTTTATCTTATTCTAGTAACCCTAGTTTTAGCTTATAAATAGGGTGACAATCATTGTAACTTTTATCATGTTTTATAGCCGTCATTCTTAATAGAATATTTCCTTTGTTCATCATTTATTCACCTTTGCACCAACATGTAGAGATATTGTTGCCATGATTTCCCATTCTTCAAGCTTCTTCTTGCAGCAATTACGAAACCGGACTCTGTTATACCAATTTGATAGAACAATCATACAATGATGCCACAAGCAATGAGCTGAGATTAGTGATGATAGTTGAGATTAGTGTTAGAACAAGGTGATGAAAACTGATGAATATTGAATGATCTATTAACTTGCTGCATTGCATCACAATCTTACACCACAAGGCATTGGTTTTATATCACCTCAACTAACTAACTAATTGTATTAACTAACTATAACTAACTAATAGAATTACAAAAGCTAATAGGAAAGTGGTCGAATAGTTAGACAGACTGCGGAATTCAGTTGCTTGTTTTATTACTACAGATGTTTGTCTGACTTGAATTTTGAATTATTTTTGCAAATTTCCAACACACTTGTATCTTTTAAGAAAAAAACAGAGCATTTGCTCCAAAGCACATCTTACATTTTTCGAAAATATATTTTTGAAGATATTTCAGAAATTTATTTTTGGATTAAATTTAGTTGTAAAATTAGAGCATGGCTCAAAAATGAATTAGTTGTATATCGATGTATCTTTGTAATCTAAAATGAATTTTTGGACTTTTCTACGATGTTATTCTACCATATAAGATGGGATAAGAAGTTCTCTTATATTAAAGCAGGTAAATCTTTATAACTCTTCAATTTTATCTTATAGTTCATTTGACTCCTGAAAGGTTTATTAATAATGAGTCAAATGTTGAGAATCTTATTTTGGTAGGCTTAATTAAAATGATAATATTAGTGAAGTTAGGATTAAAGTATACCCTTCTAAGAAAAATGAATTTATAATTCACACAAGTGATATATTTTTTAGAATCGCTAATCTTACTCTCAGGTGAAAAATCATCCTATAAAAATCTTTTAAAAAAATTATTTTGAAATTGCATCTCTGAACGCATTTTTTACACATCAAAACACGTTGAAAGTGAGTCTCACCTCTTTTTTTTTTCTTCAAGATTTAGTCTGAAAATGCATCTCTATATTTACCTTATACGCACTCCATGTATTCTTAATTAAGACACACTCATTTTGAGATAAATTGATCCAGAGATACATCTCTGAATTCACCTGAGACAAAATATAAAAATGCATTTCCGAACGTACTCTGGTCATATCAAAACATGCCCAAACTAAATCTCACTCCAAACTTTTTTTTGAAAAATGTACCTTTATAGCCACCCTATCAATGGTTTCTTCCCTTTTACTTTTAGTGTTTATCTTGCTAGAGCAAAATAACTAGTGATATCACAACCACTATTGATTTCTCAGCATAGTTCGTAGTGAAAATGATAGTTTATGATCAGACATTTTCTTAAAGTTGTAATACATAAGGATGTTCGCGGTGCGGTTTGGACGATTTTGACGCTAAAAGTCATCCAAACCGTAAGAGAAAAATCATGCGGTTTGATTTGGTTCAATTGGCTTTTAGATATAAAGCCAAACCAATTCGGTTTGGGTTAGTTTGATTGGGTCGATTTTTTACAAGATTTTTATTGAGTCATACATACACCTATAGAGAACAACATAAATTTGTGTTTAGTCATTTATGCATTACCAAATAACACCAAAACTCATCATATTTAGACAAAAAAAATTCATTCAATATATAAAAATCAGATTAGAAAAAAGTGGAATAAAAAACATAAAATAGAAATATAAAACAATATCAAAAATATTATAATAAAACAGAATAGATGAGAGATTAAAGAAGATGAAAAAGAAATAATAGAAGATATGCAAGATTAGAAAAGAAAGGTTTAGTAAAAACGTATTTGGAAGAGAGAGTGGTAACATAAAAATGAGAAAATGAAAAATAAAGAACAAAAGAGATGAGAGATTATAATATAAGATACGAGACGTAGATGACAAAGATGATGAGAAGAATCTGCAATACTACTAGAAGAGATTTGAAAAGGTTGAAATTGAACTCTAAGTGTGAGTAAGAGAAAACCGTTTGTAATTGTAAAGTTAATGTATAATAGGCTTGGGTTTGAGTTTGAGGTAGGATTAGTGAAGTTTGCATTGTAACATAATGTGATTTGGTTTGGTTTAGTTGGGTTTGCAAAATAAGTCGCAAATGGTTTGGTTTTGATAAAAAATTGTCAAAACAAATCCGAACCAAATGCAATTTTTTGTAATATCAGTTTGATTTGATTTAGTTTACGATTTTCTATTGGGTTGGTTTCATTTTAAACACCCTTACTAATACATAATAGAATTGACTACAATTCATAGATATTTCTAATAGCATACAATTAAATTGGAGGCCAAATTATGTTTAAATTTAACGAATTAAGTTCAAATTTTATACAATAATTATAACGATATACTAGATATTCTTTTATTTAATGTGAAATATGTTTTATCTCAAAATACAAGATATTTTTAAGTTTGATTTTTTATAAAATAAAATAAAAAATCATTTGTAGAGATGACTATGGAACAGTTTGTTTTAGCTTTAAAAAAATAGATTTTTTTTTATATTTTTTAAAATTAATTCTATAAAAATATTTTTTTAAATATTACAAGTTTTTTTAAATTTGTCTTTTATAAATTAAAAGACTAATTTTGACCTACTATAACGTAAACATATATTATTAAAGAACAAAACATAGTCAAAATCACGACTTTTTCAAAAAGTTGTATTTCAAAAATGATTTTTATGAAAAACAATTTGAAATAGCTTCTAAATTAAGTAATTTTTTTAAATTTTGATATCCAAAATTTTTTTCGATAAAATGATAAAATACATAAAATTACATTTTTAAAATAACTATTTAAACCAAATTTTCATTTGAAACTTTTATGAAAAGTTTCTTTGTAAAAATTGTTTACACTAAAATATATTACACTATAATAATCATTTTTAAAAAAACCCAAAACAAATGGGTCTTATACCGTAAGTTTCTAAGTTTTTTTCCTGCCTCAGTAGATTTTAAAAATGCATTTTTTGAGACTCCAAAAAATACATTTTCAGAATAATATATTTATAAAATTGGAACATGGCTCAAAAATAAATGGATTGTGTGTACATTAAATACTTTCAAGAGATATATTTTTAAATTCTAAAAATATTTTTATTTTTCACGAAGGCAGAGAAACAATTCTTAAGATGCGTTAAGCAATTTCTCATATTTTATATCAAGTGATAAGAATGGTTTGAAAGAATTGAAGCATGAAATGGAGTTTCTTATTTTAGGATTTCTCTTTATGCAAAAATTGTGCCCGTCTCTATTCATAAACTTCAATAAATTTTGATAGGATTTCATCTATTTAACATCTCTAATTGAAAAGATAAACACAAAATTTACTTGTTTCAAATGACAAGGAAATGTAATGTTTTAACCTAAGAGGAAAGACGAGGAAAAGTAATGTTTTAACATAAGAGGATCTTTCTCATTGAAGTTTTAATCTGACATAATCCATATATAAGTAGTCACAGAAATGTTACTCACCTATGAAAAGAATATAAAATAAAATAAAAATGTGAAAAATTAAAAACTTTGATTCGTCCTGGAAACTCCAGCAGTAGCAAGCAAATCATCATCACAGTCAAACTCTAAGCTGCAATATACATGGTGAATACGACCGGCGGCAATACGACCATCACAGTCAAACTCTAAGCTCCAATTTGATTACTATAAAAGGTTGATACTGCTAGAGGTTAAAAACACGTAGTGGCACTACTGTTATGGCGTGAAGGTTCCAATGCTGCATTATCGTTCTGATTGCGACTGTTTTGACATTAAAGATAAAAGAAAAGAAGGGACTCAATTTAGAGATGACAAATATAAGAAAGGATGAAAGTAATGGATTGAGATGGTCAGATAGACATTACCGTGACAGAAGAGGAAGAAGACAATGTTGCTCGGATCCTAATATGTTTGGTTCTCGAGAGAGAACAAGAGACGAGGAGGAAGGATATGGCCTTAATTTCTCATTTGAGTTTGTGGTGGCCGGCGATAGAGAGAGGTGAAGGCTGGACGGATGTGGCGTTCCCAGAAGTATTTTAGGGAACATTTGTAAGGTGGTGTGAGAATTGTCTCGGCAAAACACAAAAAGTGTCGCCTGATCTTTTTTCAGGCAACAGTTTACACATGTTGCATAAAAAAGTGTTATAAGCAATAAATGTTGCAGTGAACCTCTATAAAACATGTAGATTGCAGAGACTCATTTTCTCTGTAACTAACATATTTTTACATTAGCAACTAAACAACTACAGTTCATCGGAAGAAAAAACTGAAATGTATGTTTGGCGTCAAGAAATCGAGCAAGTTATCATTCTTTCTCCTCAAAAACCTGATTGAAACCTCCTCCAATGATGTCGTTCTGGTTCAGCACCTATTCTCTTTTTTTCTTTTCAATAGTGTTGTATGTTTCAAATTTATAGAGGTTGTGGAAGATGCATACAGTTGCTGCTGGTGGAAAGTGGATGTCAGCAAGTCAAGAACAACAGTACTCAATCCACATTGGACATTGGTAGCTAATCCAAAGGTTTGATGTTCTCAGATAATATCTTGATGCTAAACACCAGTTCCCCTTTCCTTATTAATATCATGTGTTTATTTGAGATACGAGCTCAGACAATCACACATTCTAACCTGTTAAAGTTCAGCTTTGATCTCCTATACATGAAGCAGTACGTAGGTCTGTAAATAAAATAGTGAAAAGACAAGAGATCATTTTGTAAAACAAATTTTATGCAATAAAACATATTTTATAAAAAGATCATTTGTTAGAAAGCGGCAGAGAATGGTAAACAAATTAGAATCTGTCCACAAAGTTAAATTTTTTACCATCACTTGGATATTACTCTAAATAAGTGTAGATATGGTGGTAGTCTAGATAAAAAGGTATTCATTATTTAATCTAATTCTTTTATAGTTTTTTAAACACAATTTGATATATGAAATGGTATTTATCTTACTCTCCATTTTTTGTCTGAAATGATACAAACTGTGCAATTTATGTTCCAAAAACAAAACTGTAATGCAAATCTGTTCCTCCCTCCCTCCATTCTCAGTTATAAGAAAAATAACTAACTACACATATACTAAGAATAATAGTTAGCCTCATTTAATTTTCTTGATGTAATAAAAAATAAATGCATAGTCAAAACTACATTCTATTTTCATTCTAATTGTGTATGGGAACTTATTTTATTGAAGTGTATTTTGAGAATAATAACATAAAATAAGGTCAAATTAGTTATGTTTTACTTATATTTTGGTTCATCGAATATGTCTTCTTTTTGACATATTTTGAGAAAAGAGTAGTATCTCTTTTACTTAAGTCATCTATGTACATAACACACATCATAATGCACTGGATTCAACGATATAACCAATCACAATTTTACTACTTCTAACGCACATGATAATATTATGAATATGTTTGCAAGCACATGGAATGATAAATCTTTTGAAATGACATAATAATGTAACACAATAACTACATGCCAGTCATTGGTGTTTTATCTTAAAATTTAAAACCTATGGGATCTAAATCTAAGAGGCAATAAGCATGGTCTCCTTAAGCAAAGTCTGTGAATGGAAAATATAGACACAGTTGGAAGACAGAGCTTTAAAACTTCAAAAAAAATGCAGATATGCTGATAACCAAAATAAAAAAGAGTAGAAGGAAATCAATACCTTTGGTTGGTTTGGGTCTTGATTAAACATAAAACACCTGAGGTTTGAAGGATTGTGTGCAGTTTGAATTTGATGGAATGAAGCATGATTTATCAATCCAAGGTTGTTCATATTTGACACACTTCGTCCAAATTACTTTTCGCTCTCACCAAACCAAAGAAGCCGCCATTCTTTTCAGATTTGTTTGACTCCTCTTGATGCACCAACCAAAACAAGTTGCGATTGATGAGCAAAATAATGAACATAGTATGCATAAGCAGTCCTTCATAAAAAGTGTTTGTAAACTGTTTCATTCTCCTCCCATATTACTAGCATGGTCAAACCCTTGGCAACTAATGTCAAAACATCGAAGTTATTTCGAGAAAGCATGTCACATTCTGTTTTCTTGTGAGTTAAATATGTAGTATCATTAACATGTGCCACATTAAAAAGTCGTTCTTGTATTAAAGAAACTTTATCAACAAATCTTAAAACAAGAACCATTTGTTCTTTTATTTACTCATCATGAGCTTCATCTACAACAATACAAAATTTGTAATCACAATTTCTTCACGAATATGTTCTATCTTCCAACTAGAAAGAATTTGCAAGAGCTCTCTTTAAATTTGATGCGAAATATACTTGCATTTTTGTGGAGCATTTTTCCAACACAAAAATTTGCTTTCCTCCATTGTCAATACGAACACATTTTAGCTTCTTTCCAGGTTATCGCCCAAAACTAGCATGAAACTATTTGAATACCACAAACATTGGTCTTTTGTTTTGAGGAAATACGCCCAAATCTTTCTAGAGTGGTCATCAATAAAGGTAACAAAATATCTTACACCTCCAAAAATATTAGTGGTCATTGGACCACAAAAATCATAATGCACCAAATCTAAAATATTTGGTCTTTCTATGTGGGGCCTTATATTGATATGAAGTTCTATGTTGCTTTTTTGCCAAGCAATGTGTACATGGCTGATGGGTGTCCTCCTTAGGTGGAGAGAAAATTAAGAAATACAAAATAAATTTAAGTACAGGAGAAATTATAGAAAACTAATGGAAAGAAAAGGAGAAAAATGATCTTTATATTTTATCCATTTATTCCTTGCATGCTTTGCTATAAAATTCATTCTCATATTTCATTTCAAACCATCACCTTCGTATCAATACTTCTATAACAACATATTTTGAGTGAAGAAAAGCAAAAGAGAGTTTAACCACCTTTTGTTGGTGAGTTTGTAATAATAATCATTTTGGTAGTTATTCATTTACAACAAATATATTCTTATTCCACAGTTATTATTGTAGTGTGGGAAAAAGTACAATCTTGGGATAATCATCCACTAGTCTTCTATTAGATGTTTTAACTGATATATTTTCCAACAAGTGGTATCAGAGCTTCGGCTCACCACACATTTTAACTTTTAGTATTCACAATGGACGAGTTAACCTCGACGGCATCAACATTAATGATTAAGTTAACCTCTTCAAACTACTTCATTGGAAAGTCAAGAATAGAAGACATACTCTATTGCAAAGATTTGTATCAACCTTTGCAAAATAAAGGGACAAATCCAACCAGCAAGTCTGGTGATGTTTGAAATTTGATGAACAGAAAAACTGTAGAACAAATTCGACAATGGATAGATCACAGTGTCTTTCATCATGTTGCGCACGAAACGGTTGCATATACGTTATGGATGAAACTTGAAACCTTGTAGGAGAGAAAGACAACCCAGAATAAAGCTTCTACTATTTGGCGATTAGTGAACCTCAAGTACAGAGAAATCCGGAGTATTTCTGAACACTTGAGTGATTTTCAAAGATTGATAAATCAACTAACTAATATGAAGATGGTGCTTGAAGATGAATTGCAAGCATTGTTATTATTAAGTTCTTTGCCACGCAATTAGGATACACTGTTGGTTTCGTTAAGTAACTCAGCACCACAAGGTGTTCTAACATTGGACATAGTAAAGGATAGCATATTTAATGAATAATCAAGAAGGAAGGAACAAAGAATGTCGTCAGAGTCTAAGGCACTTGTCACAGAGTATCGTGGAAGAAGTATCCACAAGAAGTTCAATACTAGAGACAAGTCAAGGGGCAGGTCTAGAGATAATTTCAGGGAAAGATTGTGAACAAAAAAAGACATAGAATGTTACCATTTGTCACGAGAAAGGTCACATGAAGAGAGAATGTAGGAAGCTCAAAAGAGAGCATCAATAAAATGGCGATGCGAGTAACATAACCGCAACTATTTTTCAAGGTAATGAGGTAATATTTGTATGTGATGATGGTCATGTTAATTTGACATCACAAAATACATGTTGGGTTGTGGATTCTGGTACATCATTCCACATAACATCACGAAGGGATTTCTTTTCCTCTTATATAAGCGGTGATATTGGTTATGTAAGAATGAGGAATGATAATACATCGAAAATCATTTGAAACGAAGATATTTGTCTAGAAATAAACATCGGTTGTCACCTAACATTGAAAGATATGAGACATGTCCCTGACATGAGTCTCAATCTAATATCCACTAGACTGATAGGTGTCAAGTAGAGAATGATTTTTGTATCAATTTACGACACTTTTTAAGCTCTTTTCCATACTTCTAATTGCAAAACAACTTATTTATTAAGTGATTCTTGCATCAATGTATATATTTGGTATTTTTAATATATTTGTTAGTTTTGCAGCATATTTTGTAAAAAGGGTGCGGAAAAAATCGGAAGAAAAAGCAAAGAAATGAAGAAAGTTGTGTGTTGAAGAAATCAAGACCTTCGCTTGGCGAAAGAGAGACGAAGGAGAAGTTTTGTCCGGCGAAGACCTGGCGAAAGACCAGGCGAAAGAAGTTTGAAATTTCAGTAGCTACTGGAAGTGGTTCGCTGGCTGATTCACCTGGCGAAGGAGTGGCGAAAGGGATTCACCCGGCGAAGCTTTATTTCGCCTGGCGATTTCAGATATTTTTTACAGCTTGTTTGCACTATTGCTGTCACGTGGCTTTACTAAAGGATTTTTCCCGACGAATTTTGTAGCTCACCCGGCGAAGTTGCCTGGGCAGAACTTGTGTATGTTAGCACTTTGTGATATTTTTTGGGGACACAACTTACTTTTTAAAAATCTTTTGTAACCTAGAAACTTGGGTGAAGAGAAAAAAGCCATCTTCATATTTACTTAGAAATCAAAGCTTTTAAGCTTCAATCTTTGATCTTTTCAAGTTTGATGCTCCAAAAGCTTTGTTTGTTACTTGTTGCTCAAGGTACCATGGTTATGGATAGGTAAATCTCTCCTTGTGTCAAGATTAGAGGTAGATAATCCTCACTTTTGTATGTATTTCTCTTGATATGTGTATGTGAACAAATTGATGATGAA